ACCAGATATGGGATAAATGGTATAGGTGGATGGAGGAAAGAAACAAGAATCAATGAAGGAAGATAACGAGGCCCAAAAATAATAGTTATGAATAAAATAAGAGGGTTAAGAATGGTGAAATCCAAATGAAATACAATAGAAGGGGAAATAATATAAGGTAAGCAGTATTGATTGATCATTGGTATTAGGAAGAACAAGAAGTTCCTGTTCATATTGTATTGTGTAAAAGTGGTGTACGTCTAAGTTTTGTGTCTGTGTGTTTTACATGTTTGTTAATAAAAAAAATAAAAAATAAAGAGTTTTCATTATGTCTTCTGACTTCTACTTGGTGTTCATGGATACTCTCTTCTCTCTGTTCTCTTCTGCCAGTTTGTCCTACATAATGGCTTTTGCATTCTTTATGAGGACTCAGACTTTAAGACACCATACTTCATGTCAGAGAATAATGCTCATTATCAGGTCATCCTAACCATAGTGGGAAAAGAAATCCAGCTTTTATCCAAACAATTTCTTTCTTCTAAAGATATTCTCTTTCCTCTAAGGGCACACATCCAGAATTATTTAAGGCAAATTAATTATTTGTGTAGCCTACTGCATTAGCAGCTTTCCTTTTCCTTCTTTCATTTTTTTAAGTCACTATAAAGATTTACAGCTATTCTCTCCCTTATTTTTCTATGAGTTGCTTAAACAGAGTCAGGGAGATGGGAAGAGATTTCTGAAAATGTAGTCCCCAGCAGAGGGAGTTAAATTAGAGTGCTGGGCAGTAGGACTATAGATTCCAGCAACTCAGAGAAAGGGAGAGGCAGCATCGTGAAAGGAGACTGGAGGGGGGGATTTTTAAACAACTGAAAGGAGGTTAAAAAGGACAATTCTGTTATGGGGAATGAAGCTGGACTCTTTCAGAGAGACAAGTTGCCATCACAAGGAAGAGTGACTACTGTATTTTGGGCTGATGACAATGTCCTAGCTGCTATGAAAGTGTGACCATCTTATCTCAAGGCAGGGTTCCAAAGTGACTATATCCTTGGTCCCGTAGAGCTCCTGGATCATTAGTTCCTGGCTAAAAAAGTAGGCCTCTCACTGGGTCTGCAGAGAATCGGTGAGGGGCTATTTGAACAAAGGACAGTCTTTGATACCTATGTGCATGATTTAAATGAAAGCTCCAATGAAAGCATGGCCCTTTATGCTGGCCATTGTTGAACTGAGCCAGGTGGGAGGTATTGGAACAAAGTTTCTAGCTGAGCGATGTTGTTCATGATAAGGCTTAATGTTTTACACTATTGCGGCATTTAATCCGATGTTATCTTAAGGGCCACCATTTTAATGTGCTTGTTGTATTGTTGTCTGTAGTTGTGATTTTATTTTAAGGACTTTTTTAATGTGCACACTGTCTAAATGTTTATTGTATTGGTGCTTGTTGCTATTATCTGTAATTGTTGCTGGATTCTATTTTAAGGACCACTATTTTAATGTGCTTGCTTTGTCACTGTCTATATATTATTGTTTATATGTTTATTGCACTGGTGCTTACCTGTAATTGCTGTTTAATTTGATTTTGTCTTACTAGATATTATTTTAATTAAAGTCCTTACCTGCCTCTGAGATGTGTTGGAGGGTTCCACCACAAAACCGCGGTCGACTAAAGCGCGCTCGACGAAACTGCGTACCTGACGTCATCACAGCGCGACGAAAAAAGCATGGTGTGAGCGGTAAAGCTAAAATTAACACGTAAACCTAAACCTAACCCCCCTAAACCTAACCCTAAACCTAACCCTAACCCTAACCCTTAACCTAACTCTAACCCTTAACCTAACCTAACCCTAACCCTAACCCTAACCCTAAACCTAAACCTAACCCTTACCTTAACGTGAATCGGCTTGCTTTAAAAGCGCTTTTTAAAACGCCCTTTTTTCTCCGCGGTCGTATTTGTCGCGCTGCTGATTATGTCAGGTATGCGCTTTAATTGGGCGCGCTTTAGTGGACCGCGGTTTTGTCGTGCCACGGTGTTGGAGTGCCTAGGCCAGGCAGGCCAGTCATCTGGGGAAAGGGTTAAAAGGGCTCAATTGCTAA